TATAACTTATGTATAACTATATCTCTCTCTCTCTCTCTCTCTCTCTCTCTCTCTCTCTCTCTCTCTCTCTCTCTCTCTCTCTCTCTCTCTCTCTCTCTATATATATATATATATATATATATATATATATATATATCTTGTGAATATAAGTTGGATATTACTTGCCTGAAGCCAATAATTTGTTTGGGGATACAGTCGGCAGATGAGTACATATCATTGCCATCACTGTACCGAATGTATGAACTCATAGCCATCACTGTCACTGATTGCCATCAATGCAATTAAAAGTCACAGATAGGACACAAGTATCCTATTTGGAGACATTAAATATTCAACAATTAAATGATACAAACGTTTGCGTTTCACCACATATTGACTCACAATTTCAATGAACACCAGATGTGTCCTAACCTACAAACAATACCATCACTAATGACTTCTTGTTTATATCAAATCAATATTTTCCTCAATATTTTCCTTTTATTTAAACTGTTGTAATATTATTATATCCTTTTAGAAATTTTCATTAACTTTCGTAGTTTAATGTATTTATTGTTTTCCTTTAATTAAAATATTTAACACAAATCTATTTTTTATATAAAAATTGTGCAATAAATTTAATTTATTAAAATAATATGTATTAGCAAATAAAGTAAATATTTATTTTGTTTGTGCATAAGTATTAGAAACAATTTAATAAATTGATTATATAAACTAATATAATATTACATATAATCTATTTCATATATCTTTTCTAAATAATAGATGATTTATTAAATACAAAAAAAACAATACACTTATAAAAAATGATTACTTTTGTGATAAACTATTTTATATAAAATATTTTTCTATTCAAAACATCATTTCCTCAAAGTATACGAATATAATAAAAAGTAAGTGATGTGTAAAATTTTGTTGCTCTATGATTGACAATAATTCATGCTTTAAGGTGTTACAAAAAATCACTAAATATAATATCACCAAGTTAAGGCACAATTATTATTGATTATATTTTGATTTATCTTTAATAAATATACTGTCATCATATAAAGTTATAATAATATTTACAAATTTAATATAATATACAATTACACAGTATGAGATTTATTGGCATTTGATTTACTATATATATATATATATATATATATATATATATATATATATATATCTAAATATAGTTACAAATATAATATTATAAATTTATTATTAAATATAATTGTCTATACTGTATAATACGATATCAAATATACCGTATATTTATATTAGCTAATCAATATTCATTAATATACTGTACAAAACAAAGATATAAATATTATTCAAACAAAAATATCACAAAATCATAGATAAAAGTAAATATTTATTATTAAAATTAATTTTTAGAATAAATTTCATTCTTATTACTGTTTATACTAATTATAATTACAAATATTTAAATATATAATAAATAACTTTTAGAACAATTTATATAATTTCTAATAGACAATTGTAATGTTAAAATAATAAATAATATCTAAAATGAAGTCAATAAAAGTTTTGAGTTTATTTAATCCGTTGGACACATGCAGACAATACGAGACACTTAAACACTCTATTAAAGACTAAATGACTTTTAGTGTCAACTCTTTTGTCAAAAAAGATGGGTTGAAATGAAGGACAGAGTATAATAACAGTGTAAGTGAATAAAGAGGAGATTATAGTATCATAAACTCAATACAATGCAAATGAAATTACAGTATTTACTATCACTTTATTATGTGATATTCATTTATATAATGATATGTGGATTTTCGGATTAGTTGGACACTCAGTCAATAAATGACTTTTCTAATCAAATATTATATGTTGTGTGTCTTATAAATAAATAATGTAAAATTTAGAAATGTTTTGATTAATCAATTGAGTGCTTGTTTTGCCAACACATACTGTTTCAAATTAGATGCCTATTAATCATTGATATCATTAAGAGTAGTGATCCGTTTAATTTATTCCTATAAGTGTAAGATTTCTCTCTTCAACACACATATGTGCTCTACTAGTGGTCTTTCAAATTTTAAGGGTAGGACTATTGTTTAAAAAGAAAGAGAGAGAGAGAGAGAGAGAGAGAGAGAGAGAGAGTCATATATAAATGTATTGGTAATGACAAATGCAGTTGCGGTTAATCATTGGCTTCACCTCTGGTCCGTTACAATCATTTATAACTTTTTCTCTATTTTGTTAATTGGTTTTTGAGTGGATTGCTATCCATTTCACTCTTAACTATAATATTCTCAACTTAACTATCATTGGCTTTATATTGACTATTGTATTATAACTGAAGATTTGCTCCATTGCTCTATAGCTTCCTTTTTTTGCACGTAATTCCCAACTCAAACACTAAGACTACAAATATAATAAACGAGATTATGATAAATGGTATAAAATACAAATACTGACGCAATCCGATCGATACACACATTCATTCAATTGCTCTCTTTATTTACAAAAAGTGTTTTACTAAATATCAATATTAAAAAAATAAAATAAAATATTTTCTTTTTAAATCTTAAATTAAGCATTAGTTATATGAAAGAAACATATATTTAATGTTTTTAAATACATTTACAGATAATGCCGTTACAAATGCATACATAACTTTATGATAGTTGTGATTATGAGATGAGCTGAACATCAATAGGATCTAAAAGACAATCCTATTGTCACAGAGAGGGAACAGTCGACTGTTGGTTGTAGCGATGTTTGTTAGTGACCGTCATTACAATTGTAAACTGCTTTTAGGACAGCAAAAAATGTTGGCTCGAGAGTCAGTTTGATAAATGACATGACTATGCCTTCATATGAATATACAGAATATGAGAGTAGAGAGCGGGCTGTAGTATAGAGTACAGTGTTGTATGGCTACACCTAACCGATAGCAGTGATGGCAATGATGAATGACCAGTCCTTTTCAGCAATGCTTTAATGGACGTAAACAAAAGCAATACAACGTTGTAATACTGTATGCTTTCGTCAAATATAAATATATTGAGAGCACAACCAATTTGTGGCTTTTATTATGATTTTCTGATACTTTATGAGCAATAAATCTCTGGCGAAGACTCACTGACTTTAGCTTACAATCAAAAAAGCTTTTTGTATAAAAAAATCTTTTGTCGATTGGATACTGAATTTTCTTGCGACTAATCTTTTACTTTGATTATACTATACTTTACTATACAGTCCTGTGTTATACATACAGTATATACATAGCATTTAGTGTTAGTTTTTCAATCGCATTCATTCTGGTCTGTCTTCAAACTAGTGATAGCCCAGAGCCAGAGTGTAAGCCATAGTCATATTCAGAGTCCCTTCTCTTCAATTGCTTTCATATATTCGTATATTTCTCAATATATATATTGCAATATTCAATATATAAGCCTATTTGGTATCACAGTTGCCGTCATATTATTTCCGTCACAAACTTTTTGGTCAGAATGTGATTAGAGGTTCTGTCAAACTGTGATTAATATCATGCGGTGCACAGCACTGGCATCATAACCTTCACTATGCTATTATGCTCCATCTCCTCCCTGAGCCCTTTAAAACTCATTTTCTTGTAGTATTATAGCACTAAATAATACTTATCCATTATTTTTTGATCTAAAATACCTTTTTACAAATTTATAGATTTTAAAAAAATTATTTGAAGTAATTCTAAAGTTACTGGTTAAGATAAAAATACATTAATAGTTTGTAAAAATAATTAATAAATGTCTTTAAAACATGTATTTAGAAATAAATAATAATTTATTATAATAATTTTTAGCATCAATGTTATTATACATTTTGATATTTATATTTGTATCAATAAAATTCCACTTTATACCTGATTTATAACTTTAGTTATAATTTTATTATAAATTTATATTGAATTTTAGTTTTATTTAATTAATTTTTGACTGACTTTAAGGGTAAAAAAATACATCAAAATTCCATTTGTATTAATGATATTTTATAACAATTAGTATTATATTAGAGTACATCTAATTTTAGGGAACTTTTAATTGTATAAAACGCTTTTCATTTAAAGTTAGATTTATCCCTTTATGCATATATTTATAACATCAAGTCTAACAAAATAAATGACAAAACGTTTTAATTAAGGCCAGAATTTCAAATGTAATAAAACATTGTATGTAATACAATAATTTTTTTTAATGATGATATCCCTGTTTACGGGCATAACAATTATTAGGCTTATATTTTTTGGAAAGTCCATAATAACAGTGTTACAATATTGTATTAATAGTAATTATTATTTAATTAATTAATAATATAAGACCTGTTGCCCAATGGTTTGTGTATATAGACTTAGTTTTTAATAATTCGGATTGAGTTGCATTCAAAAAATAATTAATTAACAATATCTTACTGTAAATCATTATATTTTAATAATTAAATAATAAATTAATATTAGCAATTAATTAAGATGGTCACAATTATGGCACATAAAAATTAACTAAATTATAAAATTATAACGCAAGCATAATATTGAATAATTTTAAAAATAATTATTTAATGTGTTGTTATTTTATAGCATAACGTTTTTTAATCTCAATAAAATTGACAAATTATTCCTAAATATTAATAACACTTTGTTTATAAATGACAACTCATTTAAATAAAACCTTTTTTATAAAATAATTTTTTTCTTAATTGAAAGGGAGTCTCCAAAACCGCTAAAAAATCTCTTTAAATATAAATTTTGCTTCAATAATGTATATACTTCTATATTTAATATATCAATATATGTACATTATTATTGTAAAAGAGTATAATATAATAATTATTAATTAATATTTTTACAAACAAAATCTTTGAGTATTAATTTCTAAAACTTATAAATCTTTGTTTTATATATATATATATATATTTTATAATACATAATTCGGTTCAGATTTTTTGTGTGATTTTTAAAACATTAAAGAATACACAAAAAACAGTTTTATAATATCATCAGTTGCTTACTGTGGACCTGAAGAGCCGTCATTTAGTTTGGGAGAAGTCGGTGAAAGTGAAGCCGGATTTGATGAGTCCGAGTGTTGAGTAAGCGATGAGTTTTCGCGATTTCCCGACGGCGGAGGTGTTGATGTGTCCGATGGTATCAATCCTTCTTTCATTCGCTTCTTTTGTTTCATTCGTCTATTTTGAAACCAAATCTACAGTAATGTATATAACGGTATGATATTAAATGATGACAAAAATTAAAGTGAAATAAGTGTGAAATCATACCTTAACCTGAGTTTCATTTAACTGTAAAGCGGTTGCGATTTCAATCCTTCGCGCGCGAGTTAAGTACTTATTAAAATGAAACTCCTTTTCTAATTCGGTTAACTGTTTTGTGGTAAAGTTAGTTCTGCCCGTATTGTTGGCCGCGAGACCAGCTGCCAGACTGGCAGATGAGGCACAGTTAGAGACGGCGATCGCTGATTGAGGCCCTCCATTGAAACTGAAATCCGGCGCTTTGTTTACTAAAAAAAATGAACGAAAATACTCTTAGTCTCTAAACAAATGTTTATTCAATTGAATTACTAAAACATATATTGTGTTCAAACAAATAACTAAATTTTTAGTCGCTTTAACATAAAACTACATTTGAGATCATTTACAACAATTGCAGACAACTAATACTTTTCCTATTTTAAAGACCAACCAATGTTTACTTTTTCTCACATCTCATACTTAAATAAATAGTTTTTCACTGCTATCGGTGCAGACCCTCCCAACCCATCAAACAGCTAACTGTTTAAGAGTTAAGATTTTCTCAGTTAATGCTTTTATTATTAATCGTGAAGAAAACAATTAATCAAATGTCCACTACTTGTGAATTGCAATACTCTCTCTCTCTCTCTCTCTCTCTCTCTCCTTCCTTTCTTTACCGCATATTATGGAAGTCCTAATACAACCACAATGAGACTCATGGCTCACATCTTCATTCAGATGTGTCTGAGCTCTTAAACCTAACCTTTCCTTAAATAATTTTCTATAATCAGTGAAACTAATGACCACTGAATAGAGAGATCTTTATGTATTGAATGTTAAATGTCTGCTTTGTATGAAATATTGTATGAAATATTAAAATATTGCGAATATTTGACTCAAAGAGAGAGAGAGAGAGAGAGAGAGAGAGAGAGAGAGAGACTGTCTGAGAGTTTAAAAGTAGAAAGACTTCATTGATTTAAAAATCAATAGTTTGTAAGCATCTGTTTGTTGTGTTAGTACAACACCTGTTGACTTTATAATTGATGATATGATTGTCCATTTAAATCAATTTATTTGATATAATGACTAAACAACTAATTGACTCAAATTTTTTAGTGCCGTTTGTTTATAAAATGTGTTATTAATAATAAAGGATTTGTAATAAAGTAATTCTTAGTATTGCAAAGTATAGTAACATTTGAGTAAAAGTTAAGTCAATTATTTGTGTGATTTTGATAATTAGAAGTTGTGCTCAAATTTCTCACTCTTTAATTGATTTATTAGACATTGAAAGAGGAGTCGGTTTCCGATTCTTTGACACAAAATTAGATTCAAATCTGTCGTCTATTGAATCGGAACTGTCTTTTTCAATACACTTTGCGTGTGATATTGAATTTATGGTTTATTTTGAGTCAAATATTGTCCACAACTGTCCCTAAATATGGCATTCAAAGGCCGTTCGCAAAATTTATAGCTTTTTTCTAAGAGACGGACGCTTAGCACAGGACTAATAGTCTCTATTAGGAACAGTAGTTCAATACTACCCGACATTACATTCTTTAGTATGATTTATGACATAATAAGTGTATTTCTCTTTGCTTTACATTACTATCGACTTATTCACAGCTAATATAATGAAAACAACTCTAAAATAATATTACAATCAATTATTTAGTCATTTGTTTATATATAATAAATTTTTGGTTGTATACTATTTTATAATTATATTAAAAATGGTATTTATAATGAATAACTCGAATAAATTTACAAATATCAAAATATAAATACAAAAAAATTGAAGTTAACTTACAGTTAGGTTTTGGTATATTTCTCTTCACTTGCATCCACTTGTATTGAGGCACTGGTGCTGCCGATATTGAATTGTTTTGGGACTGTCGTGTTGAGGCCGAGTGATGATGCGGGTGATGGGTATGATGTGGCGAGTGATGCAAATGTGATGCCAAATGATTTAAATGATAGGCCGTACCATTTAGTTGACCACATGTCATATCGGCAAATGGTTGGGCGTCTCCATAATGTGCCGAATGTATACTCGTTTGATGGACTGAATTACTATTTCTTCGCGATAATAAACTTGTGTCTAAATATGTCGAGTATTGAGGTGTTGTTGTTGGTGTGCCTGAAATGCCTGTTCTGACGGCACAATCAGATAATGCGGTTAACATGTCCTGATGTCCTGACGATAATTGTGGGCCATCGGTGTGCGAGAAGTCCCTGTATTGATGAGTATAGCTTTGATGTGTTGGTGTGACTGACAACTGTGGTGGGCCTTGAGCTACAGGCGGACCTAATGGAGGTGCTTGTGGTACTACAGCACCAGATCTGGCATCACTATAATGACTAAGTCTTTGGTGATGTGGTGGGACAGGATTTGTGGCATAATTTGGTTGTGATAACTGGGTGTCTAAATTAGTATAACTCAATCCATTGGGTTCACTGATAATACCATCTCCAAATTGGTGCACTTGTGATGACATATGCAATGGCGATGCATATGAATGATGGTTAGTGTTTGGTGTGGCCCCGGATATGATGCCAGTTGTCGATGCAGTTGACAATTCATTGGAAGTCTGATAATATGTCAAATCTGGGTGATTGTGGTGATAGTTCTGGTAATCACTGGTTGCGGAGCCATTATGACAAACACTGGCCCCATAAACAACATTAGAGTTCATAATCATTGATAATTTGATACAAAATCACATATCAATAATTATAACATTCATTAGATTAGAAACACAACCAATTGAGTGACCAACAAATCACTGCTATCTCTTTGATTTTAAACTTCAATTAAATTATTTAAGTTTTATTTATATCATAATTGCCTTAAAGTTGAATCAAAGTTAAGTCAAAAATTAAAGTTTACATATCAAGACATGTGGTAATATTTTTTGCGGTGATGTGTGTCGATAGCGGCGCTTACATTGGATTAACTGGTGCTAATGGGAGCCGGGAATAGGATCTGGGAATAGGGCTCAACAAATATGGGTGTCGTTGAAAGGCTGGTATACGTCAGAGAGTAGCGACCAATACTCGAGTGCCCATCTTATGTGTGGCCCAACTCATGCCACGCTTTTTCAGACTTACTATGGCTTAGCACTGGTTTACTGATGACTGTTTGCTGGACTTCTGGTTCTATCACATCCACCTTAGGCTAAGACAAGTTCGGCTGGCAATACATGCCATACACCGGTGTCACTGATGGTCACAACCACAACCACTAAACTTCGATTGAACTCACAATCCATACGATTATCATAATTTGAATCTCAGTTGTAAGGTATGTGTTGTAAGATTACAATCTCTGTAAACAACCCCAACATCTAATCATATAATTGTATGCTTTAACTCGTTGTCTAACATATCAAATCATATCCTATTCGCGATTTTCTAATTATTTTATATAACACTCACGTTCTCTCTCTCTCTCTCTCTCTCTCTTTCTTTCTCTCTATCTATGCATATATATCTCACATACTCTCGCAAACATTAAGACTTATATTTAATGTTCACAACAGTCTCTCAACATTATATATAACATAAAATATTGTAGTCTTTTCTGTTGCTTTAGATGACTGGTTACGCCCTAACGTATGCGTCTATGCGCTAACACATCCACAGCTCAGTCTGTCTTTTTTGAATGTGATTTGCTTTGACCATACTTTCCATTCTTTGTGCTCATAATATCCATTATATGCATTATAGTCGACTATATTAATAAGTTAAAGCTAACTGAGCAAAATGTGAGCAAAATTGAATGATATATAAATATACAATAATATTTGTAGTGTTATGATGTGTGTGTTTGTGCAACCCGTGGTTTTCATAATAAACTTAATCACACAATTGGCTCACTTCTCACTATCTCTCTCTCTCTCTCTCTCTCTCTCTCTCTCTCTCTCTCTCTCTCTCTCTCTCTCTCATTGCACAAAACAAACTCTGTATTTATTATAATTAATGATTTTTCCTTTCAGTAGTAAATCTCTTATTAATTATATTTCACTTAAAATATAAGTACCGTTTGTAGAGTACGTGTGTCTCATTTATTCATACAATAGTTAAGCACTTATAAGAAAAGCATCATTAGAGAGATAAACATTAGTTTTGCGGCAAAATTACTGAAAGATATTTAAACACTTAAAAATATTAATGTTGTCTATTCAGGTGCTAAATGTTTATCAGTGTTCCCACGCTATCACTATAAACATGTGTCTCATATCATATTCCCAAATGAATATTTAAGTCCACTTTAGAGACTTTAATCGATATTAGGTATGACTTGAAAGGTAATCAAAGAAAACATTTGAATGTTTAAAACGTAGGGTTTGTACAAAGTTTGTAGTCATTGTAATCATAGCTTCTCTGATAATCTCAAACTATGGTGTCCTTCATCTATGTTTCTTAAGAAAAAATGCAATGCAATCAACTATAATGTTATATTCAGATCTATACAACTGTTGTATTTTATATACAATATATATATATATATATATATATAGTATTATACACTACTGGCAACCGGTTTCAAAACATTTCTCTTACTTCTTGTCCGCCAATGATTGACATTGCAATGACTTAACACACAATATATTGCAATATTTAGATACACAGTATATGTGTTGCAAATACTGTATACACTAATGCAGTCTCTATTGTGTATATAGTATACCAATTTCTCTCATCTTTCATAAGACATTTTATTTCATGAAAATAACAAAAATAATGCATTGTTTTCATATTATAACAAACATCAGGGGTTTGCCATTCATTTCCTGTTCTCTATCTGTAAAACTCAAAAACTTTACCGAAAAAAGATAGCAAAAGATCCCAAACCTAATGTTATATCACTGAACCATTGCACAGACAGATGTGTTGTGCCTTTCATTTCTCGCTTTTATAACATCACATCTAAAGCATTGTATGTTCAGCTGATATTACTCTCACTATTCAATTGTTTGATTGTTTTTAACAATTTACTAAATTTTTGTTTATTATTATATTTACGCTTTTAAAATATTAAAATAGTATGAAAATTTATATTATTTATAACTTGCAAACTATTTACTATAATTTGACTTTTTAAAAAATATTATTTAGTATTTTATACAAAAATATAATATTAATTATAAATTAAAAAAAATATATTTCATTTTTAATTAAGTGAAATTATTTGATAAATAAAATACTTTTATTTTGCCTAATATAAAATTATAAGTTTACTAACTTTTTAACAACTATAATAATATTTCTAAAATAATTATTAAATAAATTGAGTTTTTAAATATTTTATTACTTACATATAGTCATATAAACAATATATTGACATTCAATATTATAGTACATAAAAGTATTAGCAGTTTGTTTAATTTTTTTATTAAAATATTAATTAATTAATATAATCAAAAATATTTTATAATCAAAAAAATTAAAATTACATGTAAATTATATTAGTTTAATGTTTAAAATGTTTAACAAAACTTTAAAATTACATGTGCATGACTTTTATAATAATAAATAATTATTTTTTAAATACCATTAAAGCCTAACATTTAACGTTAAAAATTATTTAATTTTACTGTAAATATTTAAAACTAGAAAAAATATAAATATAATTTGCATAACACTTATCGTATATAAATCTCAATATTAAAAAGCAATGAATATATGCAACGCATGACTAACTTTTGAAAATATGGATCGAAATAAATAGCGTGTACTTCATGTTTGTAACGATATAGTCGTCTGACTGTTAACTCCCGGCGCTCGGCATTAACTTTGCGTGCGATTACTTAGAAAAATACCACTCCATTGCTAGCCATCGATTGATTGGAAATAAGTAACAAAAATATAGATATTTAGTGTACCATTCAATACTCAAACTACATATAAGGCTACCATTTTTGAGATTATCAAATCATTTGGGCATAAATTTTTCATCAATGCTCAACATATCGTATAATTTAAACACATATTGATAATAACTAATTGGTCTAAACATTATTTAAAGTTAATCTTTTAAATAATAGAGTATCACACATTTTATTAATTATATTTTTATTATTAATATAATTAAGTAATTGAAAGCTACCAAAAATTTTCAATACAATTCACTATAACTTCTCAATAAATAACTATAATATTTGTACAATAATTTTTGTTTTGATGTCAATTTTTGTTAATATTCTCCGATTACTGAATCAATAATATTATAAATTGAAAAATATAATTTCTTTATTATATATATATAGTAAATTGGAAAATATACTAATATAATAGCACTTTAACAATGAAAAAGTTTTAAAATTATTTTTTAAATTTTTATATTGAATTTGTAGTATAGTCAGGATAGGAATGTTGGTTAAAGTACTGGTAGATTCTTATGACAAAAGTTAGCTCACAATTTATGAAGTGAGAGAAATCTCATTTTACATTTATATGTAGATTTAAATAAAGTCAAAACAGTTTAAATATTTTATGTAATTTATCATTCATTTGAAAAAATTTATTTAACTTTAAAGTAAAACAAATGTTTGGGTTTACGACATAAATTTATTATAAAAGTGGCATTGTTATTAATGTATTAATTCAACAATAATGTTTGGTTTTAAAAATAATTTTTGACTGTTTTATGTTATGCCAATAAATGTTATGAGAGAGAGAGAGAGAGAGAGAGAGAGAGAGAGAGCAAATAATACCAAAAGCCTTACTTTTATACTTATAAGCCTTATATTAAAGTTTAGGTGAAGTTTTTGCACTGTTTTAATTGAATACAATTTCTATTTAGTAGAGAAAAAGTGCTAAAATTAAGGCACTCTTATAGTATATGTCAGCACTTGGATGTGTTGGACTTATTCTGCAGTCTCTGTGGACATAAATGGTATGGTCTGGTAATGGCAATGCAATGGATGGTGTAAAGTATGCATAAATGTGATGGAAACTGATCGATAGGACATACATGTGAGAGTCGAGCGCCGACACCAATAACTAACACATTGACTGAAAGTAAGGCTGTTTTGTGAAGAAAACTAAGAGCTAATCGATTGCTTCCAAAACAGCACTTCTTTGAATTACTTAACACATCTATGCATGAAATGTCTGTGTTTTTACTCCGTTGGTCTTTATGTGTCTAACTGTAAATCAGATGCATATGTGGCCACCGGTTGTGATGGATTCGCACCAATTTAAGTGTCCACTTCTCACCAAAAGTCAATTGATTGCCAAATACTTATCCATACAATTATTGTGAACCACCAGTGATCTAACGTATGATAAATTAGTTTTCATATAAACATAACATAACATATATAATATAAGACACAACTATTATAACAATTTATTACTTATAATGATTAATGATGTCTACTGTTTAGTGTTTAACTATTATTTAGTGTTCTCTCGTTTTCACTCTTTAAAGGCCTTCTTATGTTAGTTTTTATTTGTTTAAACTGAAACATACAAACAAAATACATATAATATGGTAGTATCACTATTTACAATGAATTTTAGCAATAGTGCACAAACAAAATACATAATAGTTTGTATTATTATAAAACATTTGTACATTTATAAACTGATGATAGCCATACAAAAAATTGGAGCTACTTTAGCTACTAATTGGGTGGCTTTAGCTTATATAATGGTACAAACATTTGATATTATTGATGATTGATGTCAATGT